CATTTTCCCTAGTTAAAATAATAAACACTGAAAATCTCTCTTGGTAATGAAAAAAAACCCAAAACCATGACTTTTGACTCTGTGCCTGCCCTGAGGCTTTTTCTTATGCCAACTGAAATGGGAAGTAAAGTTTGTATTTTCTAACAGTGAGGATATTAACCACAGGACCAGACTACTGAAAGAAACAGATTCTCTTACCGATTTGGTTGTTTTTTTTTTTTTTTTTTTTTTTTCTTCCTCAGATCAGTACCAACTACTGGAAAATATGTTTCAGATCTTAAAAAAAAAAAAAAGTTACTTGGCTCAGTGTAGGAGTGATTGGGTAGAATGTGTAGTTTGTGACAGCAGGATGTTAAAGACAGTATCTAATTGTCCCTTTCCTGCCTAAATTCTGTATCCTTGGTTTATTCTTTTTCTCTTAATTCCCTTGGCAGGGGGGGTGCTTTCCATAATGTTTCATTATGTTGCCGAAGTTTCTTAAGAACTAAAACTCTGACATTCAGAATGGGTTAATTCTCAAGCAGCAGAGATCTGAGGGAGCGGTAATTTCTGAGATTTTCCCTTTCGTTTTGTGTATGTTTTGCTCAGTTCTTCCAGAATGGGCTTTTGGAAGGGACAGTTGGATCCATTATGAGCCAAGAAGCATCCTCAGCACTCACAGCACTCAGATCCAGCTGATGGTGCGCACCCGTATCTCCCACAGCACCCTTCTCAGCTTGGCCTCTGCAGATGGGAATGGATACCTCCGACTGGAGGTGAGCAGTCCAAAAGCCATTCTGTTTCAGTGCTCTTAATTTGTCATGGAGTACCCTAGGAAGAGAAAAAGATGCAATTAAGGACACCTATTCTGTAATGTAATAAAGAGCAAGAATTTTCCACATGAGGGTAACTGCTCTCATTTTTGTTGTCCTTCTCAGTATTACCCTTTCACAGCATAGATTCTAATTGTTTCACTGCCTGCAAAATGTACAGGTGAGTGCATGTGATACGTGTGAATGGAGAAGATGGTTTTGTCCTGTTTGCCTTTTCCCTTTGCTTCTATCTGTCTCTGGCTGTAAAACTTGTCTCTACATTTTTGTTTCTATTGAAAAAAGCTCCCTGGATTATATTAGCTACATGGAGGTTAATTATTCCAATTGTAACAGAAAGGTCAGCTGGGAAGACTTAGAGGTAGACATCAGTAGGGAGAAGACTGATTAAAAACGTTCATGTGAGTTACAAGGGTGGCCTGTAAAGAAAAGACTTCATAATTCCTGGACCTGCAGTTTTCTTGTGGTAATTTTTATCTGGGAATAAAGCACTTAAAAACAAGATTGCTGTTTCATTATAAAAACTTGGGTCCATTTCTTGAGGCAGGACTGTGTAATAACATTTAGAAATGTATTGCTGTTATTAAAGGTCTTTATCATCTTCCTCTAGGTGGTTGAGGGTTTCTTTAGCGTTAACTTCAGCTTGGGGGACAAAAATCACTCTCTGAGAATGAGGACATTACGTATAAACAATGGCCAGTGGGTGGTTCTGACCATGGAGCGCTACAACAATGAATTTACCCTGCGTGTTAACAGTGGTGGAGGTGATCAAGAAGTGACCTCTGTCTTGGGTACGAATAGATGGTTTGAAATGGATTGGGCAAGCATTATGCTAGGAAACCGCCTTCCCAATCACTCAGAGAGCGATTTCCAAGGTAAGTGATATGATGGGTTCCTAAAAGGAGGGAATTAAAGATTAAAAGTATGAATGTATTGGAGAGTCTAAAACCCAGGCAAGGATTCCCATGGAGACTACTATGCCCCTGAAATCCCACCTCCTCTACTAGGAAATTCAGAGCCAATATTCAGCTCTCTATTTGCCATTTTATCTGTCCTAGTGAAGATGTGAGGTTTCCTGTAGATATTAAAAAATAGCACTTCAGATTTTTATTTCACATGCCAAAGGCCCCAAGCAGGGAACTCACGCTGCGATCTTCACTCCCTTTTTGCCTCGGAAGGGTTTAAGGAAGAGGTACAATACCTCCTGATAGGAGGAGAAGGATTTGCAAGGCAATTCGTGGTGGTGTCTCCATTTCCTGGGATGAGCCGCTGAGACTTTGAGATTGTGGCTCAAAAAGAAGACAGATTTTTCCTTTCTGTTGCTTCTTCTCACTCAGCCCTACTTTTAAGGTTGTATTTTAAATCTAGATTAATTTAGTGGAGCTGTTCTGGTCCATAGCACAGTTTTGCTAAGTCACTGCATTGGTACAGTGAAGCTGTCCTGGAGTAGTATTGTCAATCTGTAGATTGGCCAGAGCATATAGGCACATGTCCTGTAGCTCTTCTTTTAAAATAAAAATGATAAGCAGTATAAGGATTTTTTAAAAAATATTTTAAGTTTTCTACAATGCTCTATGGTCTCCTGCATATGTGTTGGGGGCAAGGTGTGGGGTGGGGAAGTTGCTAACTGAATATATTTCTCTGTATACTCTTCTGCTTTGATGCAGGTTGTATGCGTGATGTCCAGCTGAATGGTCAGCCACTTCTTGTGGAAGGCAAAAACACAGAGTTTGGCTTAATTTTGAGGCGGCAAGGTGTCATGATGGGATGCCATTCCAGTGCCTGCAGCAGCCAGCCCTGTTACAGCCCTTTCCTTTGTGTAGACCTGTGGAGAAAATATGAATGCCGGTACATTAAGCTTTTGTTTTCATCCAGGGGGGCTGGGAAGCTCTCTCTTTCCACCTTAGTTCAGGCAACTTGTTTCTAACAGTGAAACTCCCTGCTGCTGCTGACCAGAGAGGGGCATCCCAAGGACAAATCCTTCTTTCCGTGTCATCTCCCATCATAGACCAAACTTGCCTTTTCCTGCAAGTCTGATACAGAACCTATTTATTTCACCATTTTTTCCGCAGTGAGATCACAGGCCAGTGAGGAATTGAAACGCAAAAAGCTTTGGTCTCTGTGTGAAGATATATATATTCTTTTTTATATATATATATATTAAAAAATATATATTGCATATACAATATATATTTACAAAAATTTTCTGTAAGGAAGTTGAAATTAGTCATACTTTGTATGAAACAATAAGACTTTCAAAATTAGACTGTCGCAAAACTGGATTCGAAAATTGGCTGCCCAGGGTCAGAACCAAGTCCACCAGCTGGCATCCTACACAGTTAGTTTCTTGGAGAAGATCCACCTTTTAAAGAAAATTTTCAAAATATATATTGAAATATGCAAATCAATATACAGGCATTTCTGTTTAAAAAAAACAAACATAAATACATGCAGGACTGGGAGAAGGAGCCACTTGAATTCCTTCAGTTCAGCCAAGATTTGGCATTTCTGAGGCCTGGTGATTCATTGCTGAAAGAGGCTGTGAGATGATCTGAAGTGTGTCTTGGGACACTCCTTTCTTCAGTCTACTTGTGAAAGAACAGTATGAAGGCTCTTCTATTTATTCACTAGTATTTCTTCTTTGGACTGCAAAAGCAGGTGTGTGCCCTCACAGCATTCCTCCATGGCCTGTCCAATTACATAATCAGAGAAATCACTTTCTCCCAGTCCTAAAAGACAAGATTCTGAGGAGGTCAATGACGTCTCTTCCAAAGGTCCAAATGAACATTACAAAGGTTATACTGAGTGCTTGCTGGCCCTTTTCCAATTGATCTCAGCTATCCATTTCCTTATAGGCGTTTGAACACACCTGTAGAAAAAGAGTTAGTCTCTTCAGAAGCTGATGGATACTTTTTTTGTGTGTGAAGGAGTGAAACTCTTCTGTATATCTTCTGGACAGGGAAAGCAGAGCATATGTTCATGTTTTCATAAGCCTACTATCTCACTATGTTAGACTTCACATGTATTTCATACTCTCAATGTGTATTTGTTGTTTGTTTGAAAAGACTTTAATTATTGGCTTTAAATAAATAGTAACAAACTTTGCACAAAACAACATACAACACTAGGTGCTTTGCTTGCCTAAAAGATATCTTCTGCTTTTGTTGTTCAGGTGTCCAGCTGGGAAAGTAGAAGTGACTGACAACCTTACAGGGCTCAGACACTGTACCTCATCACCTTGTGGACACTGGACCTGTAGGAATGGGGGTACCTGTGTGGCTCAATCCCAAGACAAGACTGTCTGCCAGTGCCCCGAAGGTTACAAGGGAAGATGGTGTGAAATTAGCCAGGTGAAGGCTGGAAGACCTGTTGGACTCAGCTCTGGCTCTATTCTGGCAATCAGCATGTGCCTCCTTGTCTTCCTAGGTAGGAAAGCAAGTACCTTTTTTCTTCCTTTTTAATCTTGTACGTTGCTCCATTGAATCAAGTCTGCTTTACCCTTGGATGTTGTGATCAGTGTTTCATTTTTTCTGGAGATCACCAGTTGGGTGTTTGTTTGAGGATGCTAAGAGATAAGCATCAGCACATAGTTGCAGTTTACTTGCTTTGAAGCCAGTTCAAGGAAATTTAGGACTTCTTTCAGAATCACTTATTTTCAATCCTTCTTAAGTAAGAGCTTTCCATCTATGTGTGTGCAAATCTGGATGCAGCCACATCCATCTGAAACTCCCACCTGAGCCCTTACATTCTAACGGGTAGGATCTACAGCTAGGACCTGCTATTCACATATTAGGAAGGAAGAGATCTTTCTCTAGAAAGTTTATTATCTTAGCAGGCAAGCCTCATTAAGAGTGTGGAGCAGAAAGAGATATTCAGAATGTCCAGTTTCAGGCATACTTTGACTGAAAAGTTAGTAACACCTTAAAACTGTTTTTGTATTGATAAACTGCATACACATCTCAGAATAGTAAAGACTCCATGATTATATTACACTTGTAACCTTCATTAAAACAGTGTTTTACTTACTTTGGGTATCTTATTTACTCAGGATTGGTGAAAGGCCAGAGATTGGCCAAAATGCCTTCTATTTAAATGGATTCCTTTAGGTAAGTAAAATACCCTTTTAATGAAGTTTATGATGTAATATACATAGATGATTCTTTGCATTCCTGAATATAAGTTGTTTATATATTAACAATTATGCATTTCTTACCTGGGAATTTGGTTATCAAATTAAGAGTTGATTTAATATCTCAGGAGTCATATAACTATTTATCATGCATCATACTTTGTCACGTGTCATATAACAAATATGTGTCTTTATTTCTTCCAGCACTCTTGGTATCCTACACAGTGTGGAGTCAGTGGGGAAGTTCAGGGTTTCGGAAAGGAGGAATTTACCACATTCCCGAAGAGCGTGAAAGCTGGGAGGATGTTAGAGAAAATGTCTTCAATTATAATGAAGAAGGAGGTGGAGAACGTGACCAGGTATGATGCAGCTTCAGTCCAGTCTGTGCAAATCCAACCTCTGCTCACCTTCCTTTCCCAGACCTTTTATTTAGCTTGTTGTCCTTATCCAATTGGCTTTTTTTTTTCTTTTTCTTTTTTTAATCTGAAGTAGTCTTGAGTGGGAGGCTTCTGTTTCAATGCAATCTGTACCTTTCACAATGCTGGTCATCTGTGGCCACCCTTGAGGGGGCTGCTCTGGAGACAGCATTCTTGCTTTAGCTGAAGACTCTCATTACACAAAGGGATTTGGCATGATCTGAACTAGGCCCTCTCTTCAGCTTCCAGAAGACTCATAGAATCCAGTTCTGTGTTGCATTGAGTTTTAAAACATTTTTTTGAACCTCTTTCCTTTTGTGTTGTTTCTCTCTAATATTTTCATTCTTTTTTTTTTCCCAGAATGCTTACGATATAGATGAACTGAAGAAACCTCTCCATACCGTTCCCCACTTCACCTTAAGGGCAGCTGCTCCACACTCCAGGACACCCGTTGGCCCAAAAAGAGTCTCACTCCCAAAACATGCACATCAAAAACAGTCAACATCAGCTGTTACCAGTGTCCCAGACTTCAAGGAGTATGTTTCTCAAATCATCTGGGATGCAGACAATGATCTACAGAGTCTTCCAGCTGACACTATTCATTTTTACTGCTTAGAAGGACAATGCTCTCTAGCAGGGAGCCTTAGTTCCTTAGACTCCATTAGTGGTGATGAAGATCTAAACTACGATTGCCTCCGAGAGTGGGGGTCAAAGTTTGACAAGCTTAAAGAACTCTATAAGGTCTCAAACGAACATTTGTAACCAGAATTAAAGGAACTTGACACATTGCTGTGACATATGGACACTACTTTTAAAAATGCCCTTTTTTATATATAAGGTACATCAAGTGACTTACTTGATGCAAGTTTTTAGTTACAGTAGTAAGATATATTGACTTTTCCCAGGAGAGATAATCTGAATGGTCTTTTTATATGCATTGTACAAACAGTTATTTAATAGTAGAAGTGGAAAGACTTTTAAAGCCTGAATTTTCCTAAAAACTTTGGAATGTAGGATTTGTGTAGAATAGCATTATAATATCCTTTTTTATTTGTGTAGACCACAGTGACTTATTATTATCCTGGATGCAAGAACTTGAATTATTTTCTCCCTAGTATTAATATGAATCCTATCAGGTGGGTAACAATGGGTAGGGCATTTTTTTTACTGCATTCATTTTAGACTGTGAAATAATTATTATAAATATTAAATATAAATAATTTTAAATTTCTAGTTTTCTGGTCAGCTTTTGTCTTATCCTCCTAAACTGTAATCTCCCTTGACGTCGCACACACCACCTTACTCACTGTTACAGGCTGCCCAACCATGTGAGACCTTTTTCTAATTACCTGTAAAGAGGGGAAAAGAGTGGAAAGATCCTAGCTGTGAATAGCACTTTGCTGGTGTGACTATTTTACATTCTTAAAAGTGGTTGTAAGACCTGGGAAAAGTTTCTATTCAGTAAGCTTTTATTTCCAACTTTGCTTTTCACATGGAACCCTTCAAAGTCTGCAGCTGGAAAGCAGAAGAGCTGATAGGAGGTGTGAAGAGAAGCTAGAAGGGCATGCAGGCAAAAGTTGGAACTCTTTCAATCAGGGCAGTCATTGTAAAAACCAGGATCCTCAAATCAGAAAGCGTGGGAAACCTACCCTGTTCCCCTTTGCCTCCTCCTACTCCCACTCCCCAAGAAAGGACTGTGGTTTGGGCACGGAAAGGGAGTCAGGAGCTTCTGAAATCTAACACTGACTTGAACACTCACCTCTGTGACCATGGGTAAATCACCTTGTTCTTTCCCTTTCTCTCTTACCTCTCTGAGATGGGGGCAGCTCCCAATGCATGGGGTGATGTGTCAATGTTAATAGATGCTTACAGAGTGCTTGAAAGCTCTGAAGTGCTAAGGTTTTTTTAATTGTTTTCTACTCAGTGGTTTTTTAATTACCAGTATAACATCATACTCAATGTTTGTTTTCTATTGAAGTCTTGACACTTCCTTTGATTTATAAAGATTGTTTTAAAATTAGATCTTTCATCACTATTCATCATTTTACTTGGCGTAAAAAATGCAAATGTAAATTAGTTTTGTACCTAGAAGGAAGATTTTGATACTATTAGAACAAGTATAATTTACACTGAAAATTGATTGAACAAAACCACTAAGCTTAGCACAATTATTGGTGAACTGTCTCTTTGAAAAGAGACTAATTTGAACAATGTGCTACAACTAATGCTAACAGGCTAACTGTGATCTCCCAGAGGATTATTTTGTAATTCCTGTTCTGAGATTGAACATTTTACATATGAATACATTAAACGATAACTTGGGAAATCTGAAGCAGTAGTTATTTTTTTCCCCCAAATAACTGAAGACAGAAAGTAACACGCACGACAGAAGATAAATTGCATTGTAGTCAGGACATGTAATGGACTTCTGTCCACATGGAAGACAAGAAAGAGGGAAGTTCCTCTGTATCCTTGGGTCACTTACAGCAAAATGCAGAATGTTTATGGCTGGCAGGTCGCTGTCTAGCTGCACAGTTAGATGGACTCAGGCTGAGAAAAGGCCACACCAGGCACTAGTTTGAAGCAATATCCCCTGTTTTACTTGCTGCTGTTCTTCTGGCTGTTGAGTAGGTGAATCGCAGTCCTGTAGGAAAGGGAAAACAGCCCAGCTGCTTACAAAAATGACTGGGGAAAAAGATATTCGCATTGTATATCTACATTGAAGACTTGCTGTGCAGCCTTTGTGAACTCTCTTCTTGGTAAAATATTTGAGAAATTCAGACAAATGACTGAAATAGTTAAAAGCTTCTGCTAGTCATCCTCTTCTCCTGCAGACATTGACATCCTAGGAACGGGGGTATCTGCAAAGCTTGAGAACCAGCTCCAAGCTAGTTGCACCTTAGGGAGCGGCATAGACAGACATGGACTATGTCAACGCAGACGTCTTCATAACAGCAGAAGTTACTGCTGAAAGGAAGGAGCTGCTTCTCCTGCTTGATTTGAATCTGCCCGTCTCCATGGATCAAGGTCTTTGCCTTTTCATAAGGCGCTAAGGTGTGTGTGGGGAGGGCGGAGGTTTAGCTGTCTTACTCCAGGCTGAGCTGCGGGAGCCTGCTCCAAGCGCTCCCTTCTTGCCCTCTTCTCTAGATAACTGCAAGCCCCCACGAATTGAAGAACGCATTTATGGTCGCCTGCTTAGGCAGCACCAGGGGAAGGGAAGGAGGGAGGGGTAAGGCAAGGAAGGATGGACGAGCCCGTGGCCTGGGGCTGCGAGGTGGGTGGCAAGAGCCACCTCTTCAGGCGGGGCCGGGCCTCAGGGCTCACAGGAGATGCCGCTACGGGGATACGACCACGGCGGACACGCAGGTTGAAGGCAGGCTGCGGCGGTGCCATGGCGGAGGTGACGCCAGCTCACGCTCCCACCGATTTCGGAAGGAGGTTGGGCTGTTCTTCCATCGGGTTTCCTCCCGGGAGCGTG